TTCCCTTATATGGCCATGCCTCAGGAGCGCGTCACGGGGGCGGGGCCCGGAGCGCACTACGTCCCCCACCGCCCCTCAGCGTTCCGGGGGTCGCTCGTGGGCTGCGCCACGGGTCACGTTGGGTCGCCCTGAGCCTCCCCCGGGCTCCCGCCCATGTGTCACCCCCGTCTGCCCTCCCCACGTCCACTCGCGTTACCCGGTGTCACCCTGCCTGTCCCCTGTGTCCCTCCCTTCTGCCCTTCAGGGTCACTCCCAGCTCTGTCCCCCTGGATCTGTCCCATGTCGCATCATGCCCCCTGGTCCTGCCCTGTGTCCCCGGGGTCCCCCCGTGTCCCCTGCATCAGCCCTGCCCCTGTCCCCCAGGTCCTCCCCTGTGTCCCTTAGGGGTCCTGCCTGTGTCATCCCAGCATTGTCCCTGGCTGCATCCCCTGAGCATCCTGCCCTATACCATTCCCTCACCTCCATATCATCCCTAGCCCTGTCCCCCGCTGTCCTGTCCCCATGCCACTCCTCTGGGTCCTGCCCTGTTCCACCCCGGGGGTCCTGCCCCATGCCACCCTGGCCCTGTGCCCTGGAGCTCCTGCCCCTTTATTGCCCCTACGCTGCCCCCAGGGGTCCAAATCGCCCTCTGTTACCCCCTGCCTCCCCTGGCCGAGTCCTTCCAGAATCCTGCCCCTGTGTCACCGTTTTCATGATCTCTATGTTACCCCCATGGGTCCTGTTCCCCCCCCCTCCTGCCCTCTGTGTCACCCTGGGCCTCCCCCCGCATGGGTCCTGCCTCACTGTGTCACCCTTAAAGCTGTTCCCCCAGGTCCTGCTACTGTGCCACCCTCATCCTGTCACCCCTAACCCTGCCCCTATTCCTGCATCCCCATGTCACCCCCTGACCTTGTCCTCCTTATGTCACCCCTGTCCCACGGATCACCCCGGTATCCTTGGTCATGTGCCACCCTCTACCCTGATCCTCTCATCTGCGTGTGCCCCAGCCATGCACTGAAGCCACAGGAAACCCCACTGGAAATCCCCGGGGGACACCCACAACCCGGGGGGGCATGGGGGACAACAGGGACAACACACAACCCACCACGGGGGGGCGGGGGGGGCACTCCAAGGCCAGGCA